TAAACCTTGGGTTGAGTGATGTAGCTATTTTTAGAAATCTCACATTGGTATCCTCTTTGTCAAATCTGCTGTGAAAGTGTTCTTAAAACGAACATGTGCTGGGTCATCATCTGAGGCTGCTATAACATGAAATATATGCAGAATGCAGGTAAAACAGAGCAGGAGACATACATTTCTCCCCCTAAGGAGTACAGTCACAAATTTAATTGACTTGGAAACACTAGGGTTCCCTATCTGAGATAGTCCACCAGCTGGCTGCCCTAAAGCTGTGGTCCCTGGAAGCCCTAGAAATCCAGGGTGCCAAGCCTGGGAACTTGGGAGCTGGTGCTCCCAGTGTTTCCAGTTTCTCAGCTCCTTGTCAGCCAGGAGGGTTGGGGTGTGTGACATTCCCTAGGGTACAAGCTGGACTATAGAATAGAGGCGTCCCCTTAACTCTATAGCCTGGGGTGCCTTTAATACTGCTTTGCTGCCAGAACAGCCACATCTGGCCTGCTCACCTACAGCCACTAGCATGTAAAATCACTCCCAGCCACATGACCATGAATGCTCTCTCAGCCATTCAAGAATTATACACAGGGAAACACCTGCATAGTCTTCAGTCCCAGCCTTGTTCCCTAGACAGAAGGAGGAGAGGTGATGTGGAAGTCCCTGTCTCTTATTTTATACCCTCCTCCTTTCTTTGAGAATTACCCCCCACCAGAGTGTAGACAAACAGTCCGCTGTGTACATGCGGTTTGAAACATTCCTGCAATGCAATGTAAATTTCTTGTTTACACTCCCCCATGCTGGTGAATGGACAGTTAAGTAGAGAATAGCTTTTTAGCACCTGGCTGGCATGCTAGTGTACCTTTGTCTCTGAGAAAATGGTTTGTTTGCATTACACAGAACTACAACATATTTCAGTAACCATCATATAGCAAAATCTCATAATCTTACATGCAGTGATGTTACACACATTTCAATTGGATAATGATATTCAGCAAATTATGAGTTTTCTAATGATACCTCACAAGGCATACTTTGTACAAAATATATCATAACCTTATAAAAGTGGTGAACATGGGTATAGGATGTTATGGGGGGAACTAGGAGCCTGGAAGCCCTGGTTGAGCAAGGAGATTGGGACCTGGCACTTCCAGGCTCTCTCTCAGCTCTGCAGGGGAGCCTAGAAGTTTAGGAGCTTGGGCTCCAAGAATTCATAGATTATAAAACCAGAAGGAGCTACTATGATCATCTAGTCAGCCAGGTGCTAAAAAGCTATTCTCTACTTAACTGTCCATCATCTAGTCTGACCTCCTACAGAACACAGGCCATAGAACTTCCCTGATTTGACTGCTGTTTGAACAACAGTATCTGTTTTAGAAAAAAAAGTTCAACCTTATTTAAAAATTGTCAATGTTGAAGAATACACCATAATTCTTGGGACGATGTTCCAATGGTTTTGTTATACCTGGACCCAGCAGAGAAGGATATAGACAGAGGGAACTAATGGAAACACAGCTGTCTGCTGTGGAAAGATTATTGTTCTTCTGGCAGTAAAACTGAAACCAACATGACAGTGAGGCTTTGCACTGAGGAAGGGTGAGTGCTGAAACATTTAAAAGGATAGGACATCACATTCCTCCACCCTACTTTAAAAAAGCTTTCCAAATATATATACATTGTCATTTACATGGCTAACAAAAACTATATAACCTAACTAAAGTTGTGGGTGGTCTACTGCAGACTCGTAAATTGCAAAGGATTATTCTACCCTGGAATAGCAACTCACTAAATGAACAACATATAAATTCAGGCGCACAACTCGTTTTCTCACTCTCTTGGGATAACATGGTGATGGTGGTGCGGCAGTTCCCTGAAGAACAGGAACAGTTGGGGTAAGAAATCAATTGGATCGAATACCAAAGTTTCTTTCACCAACTCATCAATATTAGGAGGTTTTAACAGAAGGAGGTTTGATCTGAGGAACAGAAAGTCCTACTGGAACATCCCTGGACTCTGGTACTTGTCAAGATTACAACTGGTCCATATGTTATTTCCATAAACTACTATCAGATAGTTTTACCACAAACAAAAGAGGTCCTGTGCATTTTACAAGTTCTCCAAGTACCCATTTCACTCCACGGTCATAGTTGTGAGTCTACGTTAAATATCCTACTTGAAAAGCACAATGATGAGTCTCACGTCATCAATTAGTTTGCATAGCTTGGGATTTGGTTATATGTGAGACAACATCAGGACGGAGCAGGTCCCAACAGGTATGCAAAGACTGCTTCAAGAAAAGAGTTGCAGGTGACTCCTGGGTAGTAACAAGTGTTGTGTTCCTGCAGAAAAGCAAAACAAATGTCTGTTTCTGTCCAGTTTCTGTTGATGACTCAAAGTACACTAGTAACTAGTTGGCTCTTAAGGCATGCTTAAGTGTTTGTACAATGGTAAATGTTCTGCTAGTCCATTTTTAGCTGAGTGGTATGGAACAGAATGTTTGTGCTGAATTTCATTTGAAGCTAGGAACCTTGAAATTTTTCAGAACAGAATTGAGGTCCATTGTTACTCACCAACTGTAACAGTAAACCAAATTAGCTAAACAAGGTACGAATATGTCTAATGGTCTTGGTAACTGTAGTAGAAGTCATCCTGAAAATTTCTGAAAAAACAACAAGGAGTCTGGTGGCACCTTAAAGACTAACAGATTTATTTGGGCATAAGCTTTCATGGGTAAAATCCTCACTCTATGCATCCGAAGAAGTGAGGTTTTTACCCACGAAAGCTTATGCCCAAATAAATCTGTTAGTCTTTAAGGTGCCACCAGACTCCTTGTTGTTTTTGTAGATACAGACTAACACGGCTACCCCCTGATACCTGAAAATTTCTGGCCATTTCAAATAGGTGTTGACTACAACCCTAACCATATAACCTTTCAAAGGTCTGGCAAAGTCCATGTGAATACATGTCCAAGGAATCTGAGGCCACGACCAAGGGCGTAGATAAGATGGTCCAGGATTATGTTGAATTTGTTGACACATAATACAGCACTTTGCCTTTCTCTCAATATCTTTGTCAATCCCCGGCCATAGACATGACTCCGGGCTATGGCCTTTATCCACACAATGCCAAAATGTTCTTTTGAAGAGCTTCCAAAACCTGAGATTGGAGTGATCTTGGAATGATCACTTGTACTCTTCATTATATGCAACCGTGATTCACAGACAATTCACATTGATGTGACAAGAATTGTGCACACTGGGAATTTTTTTGATCCAACACAACCTTGTAGTACCACTTCCTTCACAAGAGAAGGCACATCATCCTTAGTGGTTTCTTTGTTGATATCTGTGCTAATGATGGGTAACCTATCCATCAAATTGAGATAAAACACTTCGTCTGAAGTTTCTTTGAGTTCATGGCAATGCAGGCATGGCAGTCATCACAGCCCATCAGCATTGCCATGCTGAGTTCCTTTACTGAATTGAAGAGTATAGGAAAGAGCTGAAAGTAGCAATGCCCATTGTTGCATATGAGCAGCAGCTAATGACAGAATTCTATGTTTCCATCCAAAAATTGAAAGTAACGGCCATTGATCCATCAGCAAGGTAAAATGTCTATCATACAGATAGGTATGGAACTTCTGAATTCCGAAGATAATGCTGAGAAATTCTCGCTCTATTTACACATATTTCTTCTCAGGTGTAATGAGTTGTTTGTGAAGTGAAGGCAATTGGTTTCTCCATGCCATCAGGAAGAAAGTGGGAAAGAATTGTGCCCACTTCATACTGTGAAGCATCACAAGCCAGTAGCAGTGGCAACAAAACATCAAAGTCCATAAGAACTTTCGCTCACATCAACAATTTTTTGCTAATTTAAATGAATGCTCACACTCTTCAGTCCATTTCCATTTTTTCTTTGCTTGTAACAGGTCATGTAAGGCCAATACTGTCGTCAGATTAGTCAGATATTTACCATAAGAGTTAAGTAGTCCTAAAAATGAGTGTAACCGTGACACATTCTCTGGCAGGGGCGCTTGAAGAACTGCCTTCTCTTTTTCTGGCAATTTCCTTAAGCCTTTGACATCAATTATATGTCCAAGGTATCCAAGTGAAGGTGTGAAAAACTCACAGTTGTCTCGATGTATTCTCAGTCCATGGTCTTCCAAACCTTACAAGACAGCATCCAAATTCTGACAATGATCCTCTTGATCCTTTCCTGTAACAAGGATGTCATCCAAATAGCACTTTGAACTCTATTCAGTCCCTTCACAATCTCATCCATGGCTTTCTGGAACAGGGCAGGTGCCGACGTGATACCAAAAGGCAAACTGTTCTAACAAAATAAGCCTTTTTGCATGTTGATTGAGATATATTTATGAGATGCCAGATCAATCTCCATTTGTAGATATGCATTGAGCAAATCCAATTTATTGAAACACTGTCCACAACTAAGATTAGCAAACAAATCTTCAGTACAAGGTAGTGGTCAAACTGGTCTGCACATAAAACTGGATTCAATGTCACTTTGAAATCGCCACAAATTCAGACTGAGCCATCCTTCTTGATCATTGGTACGATGGGTGTAGCCCACTCACTGTGTGAAACTGGTGACAAGACTCCAATGTTCACTAAATAGTCCAAATCGATTTCTACCAGAGGCTTTTGAGCAAAAGGCACAACTCTGGGCTTGCAATATTTTGGGTGGCTGTCAGACTTAACAGTGAACTTCACTGACATGCACAATTGTTGCCAAAGAATACCAAAGCCATAGAAGGCTAAGCCATAATATCTTTCCCCTGAAGCTTTACAGTATGATTTAAAGGATGATTGCTGTGTTTGACTTCTTTACATCTAAATAAAAAGAGAACTGTTTTATTATTTTGGAGCACTTAACAGTAGGACCCCAATTTAAAATGTACAAAATATCACATTTCAAGCCAAATACATGAAAGGTGGCTGGAGTCAAAAGTTATCATACAAATGAAACAGAACATTTTTATTTTCATCATACTTCTAATTTCCACATATACACTTTTTAAAATAAATCAGCATTTTAAACATGATCTCTTTTATCATCTTCAACAGAGAACCTACTAAGAAAACTCTGCTCGTAGCTTTTTTTCCAGGTTGAAGTGTACATATTACTCACCTAGAATCCAATCCTGGAGGTTTTGGGTTGCACAATGACTATCATCTCCTTCTCCATGCTCTTAGAATATCAAGACACAATGTTAAGTAAAAACAGACAAAACAAATTGAGTTTTACAGACCACATTTTTTTTAAAAGGTTCCCATAAAAGGCCTATTTACAGCAAATATCAAATGTTTTGAGTACATACAACAATACTAAATAATTCTCAATCTAGCAAAAAATTTTAAAGAATTAATTTACAAGTTTTAAACGACTGTTTTAAATCTAGGCTAAATTTAGCCCCTTTCCATAAAGATCATATTCTTTATATAGGATATAGTCCTTTAGAACTGGTGGAAGAGGAAGCTTCGCCATTGATGCTTGTCTCCGTAGTCTCCTTAGTCCCATCAGTTGACGTATTTTCAGGCGGCACAAATGTTTTAATGGGCGAGGATTCTCTGAAAAATAGTGAGGGAAACACATCAGGGGAAAAAACAGGCCATTAATTTGGCAAGTGTGTCTCAGACTTAGAATCTCAAAACATGCGCTCTAATGAAACTCACTTCAGAAATCTACCAGCTGAAAGCTCTCCTATTCCTGTTACTTTTAATAAAATACAGTTTTAATTTACTCCCAAATAAATGCACCACCAATAAAATTTCACTGGAGCAATGGTGACATCAAGTGGCCAGTTTTATTGTACTTAGATGTTATTTTCATATTGGATGCTCATTACGTTGTTTTTTTCCTGTTTTTAATTGACAAGCCTGTTTATTTTAGCTAAATTCTAAATGGTGATTTTATGTGCTATTAACACCTTATAATCGGCACTTTTCCTTTAAAATGATGGTAACACCATGGTCTCAATTTTTCAAACGTGGGCACCTGAATAGCATATCCAAATCCTTCATTTGGATGCTTACATCAACACACCAATTAGCACAATAAATGCTGACTAATTACATGATCTGTGTACTCAATCCTGAAAGGTGCTAAGCACCTTCAATTCCCACTGACTCAGTAACACTTGAAGGTGCAGTATTAGACCCTGTGTGTTTGAGTTATTGCAACTTCTAAACAAAGACTACAAATATCATAAGATAACTGATACATCATGCCACCAGAGAGAGTTCGTTGTAATTAAATGTTTTATATGAACAGCATATTTCAAAATACTTGAACTTTTGAAGCAGTTAACACAACCAAATCACTTTGAAGCTGTGACATCAAACAACAAAATCCAAAAAAGTAATTCTTTTGCGCACCAGTGTAAAATGCAAAAGCAAAAATAAAGACAGCATCAGCTTTAATTTTGAAAATTTTGCCTTTTATCAGTTAATTTTACAATCTCCACATTATTCAGACAGAATTTTGTATTTATTACCCTAATAGAAAGAGAACTGCTTTGGTGAAGGTTTATAAAAGCATAAACACTAGTGTTAATTACCTGTTAGACTGCAACAGCTCCAAAGAGAACTGTGCCAGATAAATATAGACAAACATATTTTTCATAGTTCAATAAATTAAAATGTATTAAATAGATGTTCATTTCAAAGTACCAATTCCAGTTTGTGTGCACATACATATAGATATATTTTTAAAATAAATGTAGATGCTCAATAGACTAACAGCTCTACTGCAATATAGCATATAAATATGTATTTAGGCATGGTACACATGCCCTTAGGAAATTGTTATAGGACATCTTCCTATACATATCTAATGGAAACTTTTCAGAATTTAATTGCAGCTGCTTTAAAGTGGCACTGAGATAAATATCATAAATTAATTCCTTGCCTTCATTACTAATAAACTAATGAAACTGGGCAATTTTTTCAAATGTAGGACTAAAGTGTCCCTTACACATAAGCATATACCCTACGTAGCCTACATAAGGGACAGGAAACTTTGTGAATTCATAGTTATGAGGTGAAATCCTGCGTATGTTTATGTTTCAGCTGGGAGGTGTGATTCCCAGCTCAGGCCGACAGACTCATGCTAGCACAAGTCTGTCTATCTGTGCTACCAGCTGCAATAGAGACATACCCACTGAAGTCAATAACAAAATTCTCATTGACTTCAATAGGGGCAGGATGTCACTCATGGTGTTTCTGCCGGATCGATCTAGTAGGAGGGTAGGATTTCCGAAGGGTCAGGATTCCTTCCACCCAGAACTGGAAAGGGCTTCTGCGTCCTAAACCTGAGGATTCTTTCCTAAAATCTTGGCAGATCCTGAATGATCTACTGGATCAAGAGCAATCTGCATGAAGTTCCCGTGCCCCCTCAGTGCCTCTAGGACCCCCCAGTCTCCATGATTCCCAAATTGCTGCTGCTCCTGAACCCTCTCGGTCCTGGGGTTAATATTGTGGTGGAATGTCCCATCTAGTTTGTAAGCCTTTTAAAAGACAGGTATACACAGGAACCTGTGAGAGGCTCAACTAAAATGCTAAAAATGATGCCCCGATAATGCACATTGTGTAAGTCAGATTTAGGACATTGTGGCATACTAAATGACAACATTTTTACACTCAAAGTGTTTCACACTCTTTCTCATGTTGCTCTCTGAAGAGCTATTAGGTGAGGGAGGGAGTAGAACAATGAAAGCGTGGGCAAATGCCCCTCGGTAAAGGGTCAGCATCTCACAGGATTACACAGTGATGGGTGCATTAGAAATACATATGTCAGTGTAGGGTGAGATTCTGCCACCACTACTCACCTGGAGGTACCTTACTCTCCAAATGAAATAAACGGGGCTTCCCCCAGAACAAGGTACTACTCAGTGGAGCAGATCCTTAGCTAGTATAAATTGTCTTAGTGCAATGATGTCAATGGAACTAGGATGACTGATTCTACCTGAGGATCTGCCCCAGTCTGAGAGAGGGTGTCAGGAACTGGCCCTTAGACCAGGTGATGCAAACACAACATATTAGAATTAAATATAACTTGTAATTATAGTAATTTTTTACAAACCTTTAATACCAGATCAAATAATTAAACAAATGTTAGACATTTACCTAATATCTGATGTATCTCTGGCCATTCCTTCTGTGCTTCTAGGACACACTTTAGTTTTGAGCACAAAGGAACATAATCCATATAGTCTATCAAAATGCGAATCACATGTCCAACTAAATGTTTCAACCAAGGAACTGTAATAAAGGCACAGAACTGAAAGGAAAAACACAGATTACTTTTAAAACTCACCCAGGGAAATGCCAATATCCTGTAAGAAACAGTCCTGTACTGACATCCCATGGGGATATAATGGATCACCTCTAACTTCTGATTCTTTGTTTGAACAGAAACCTGAAGGCCACTTTTCATTATGTCAAAGATGACAATATCTTGATAACTTCCTCATTGTTTTATTCCACTTTGGTTTTAGAAGTAGGGTTAAACATCTGTCTCTAAAAAGTACACTTTCATTACATGTATGCTGAGCATTATTGCTCAAACAATAATCTCAAACTCAAGGGAAAACCTGGAGGACATTAACTCTTAGGCCTTTATCATTTTTATCTACTACTATCATAACTCTACATTTTTCGGCTATACTTTGCATTCAAATTTGCTTGAATATATCCCTGAAAAATGGGTTTGCGGTGAGTCTCAAAACAGCCTATGAAATAATATGGCACCCTTGGAAATCTTTGATCATAAAGCATCCAAAGTATAAAATCCTCAAACAGTATCTTGTGTTACCTATGTTACTAATAACAACTTATCAGTATCTTATGCACGCTAATTGTTTGGGAATGCCTGCTGCTAGCAGAATGCTAAAAGGCATCCTGCTCCCATTGAAGACAATGGGACTTTCATCATTGACTTCAGTGGAAGAGGAATTGGAACCAAATACAGTTATATTTTTTCTTTTGAACCCACCATTTTATACAAAAGATATAAATGTTCCAAGAATTGTATCTCATAAGTACTGTGTTTAATTGTACTGACACCTCTTTATAGAAATGCTTTGCACTTACATAACTACAGAACCTTTTATCCGAGGATTTCAAAGCACTATCCAAACATTAATAAAGTAAGCCTCACAGCCCTCTTGTGACAGGTAGATATTATTATTCCCTCTATCTATATGGGGAAATTGAAGTACAGACAAGTTAATGCCTACATTTGGAATTTTCCCCCACTATTGTTGTGTGCCTCAGTTATTGGGATGCCCAGGTCCTGATTTTCAGAAGTGCTGAGCATCCACAGCTCTCATTTGACTTCAGTCAAAGTTCTGGATTCTCACTCGCTCTGAACATCTGGACATCTCAAGCTGGGCATCAAAAATGTGGACGTTTCATAAATTTAGTCTAACATCTCAATCCTGCAAACACTTGCACATATGTATAACTTTATTTGTGTGAGTAAATCTGTTGATTTAGATAGGTTTACCACACGAGTAGATATCACATGCTTAAGAGGTTGCAGGATCATGCCCTATGTTTAACCCAAAACATACTGGCAAATAATTGGCCGAGTTGGGAATAGAACCCATTTTCCTGCCTTCCAGCTCCCTCCTTTAATTGCTAGTCAATACTTCCTTCCTACAACCTCTAACTCAGTTTCAAAACTAAAACTACTCTCTCTGTGTCATTTTCTCTATACCAGAATAAAACTGAAGAAAGGTTATGGGGGGGGGTGTAAATAAGTATGTTGATATCAAGAAATCTTAATTCTGCATTAAAATATGAAATAAATTTAAAGCAAGATTACATTGAAGAGAAAAATGAAGAGAAGAAAATGAGGAATGTGCTTACTGGAGTATCTTTTATTACACAAGATGTCCATCCTGGTAATACCTCCTCTTCTGGAAGTGACCACACAAAAGAACTTCCAAAGATGTCGCCATGCATGCAATCAAAACACCTCTCTGCATTATATCCATGATTCAACAACAGCCTTAGCATTACCTCATCATTCAAAGCGTACTGAATGGCACTGGGGAAATGGGTGTCATTCACGAGCATGAAGTAGCAATTGACATTTGCTCCATATGATAGAAGCAATCGTACGATTTCATGGTTACCAGCTCTCACTGCTACAAGAAGACAGTTTAGAGGATCCTTGTTTGGGTCTGCACCAGCTTTGAGTAACACTTCTGTGCAGAGAATGTCATTGTTAGAAACAGCAAAATAGAGTGCCGTTTTCCTTTCATCATCGTAGTTTTCAGAAATGTGTTCAGCCAGGAGGGTATTGACATCAAAATCGTTTTCAATGAGGAGTTCTAGACACTGCACATTCTGGCCATCTGCTGCTGAGTGAATGGGGCTTAACCCACTTCTCTGGATTGCAGTCTTGGATGTAACAGGAATTAGATATTTCAATGACCTAAAAAGATAATGAAGAAAATTTTCATCTGGCTAAAATCCACCCAGACATAAACTCCTTCCCCACCCTGCAGCTAAAATCCACCCAAGCATAACCCCCTCCCCCAACCTCATGAAAACAGGATATCCAGTTGTGACTTTCTACTACCTAACTGACCATTTCACCCGAGAAGCCAGATTCTGCCCTCGTTTACTCCTGAACAACCCCAACAGACAAATTTCTGTCCTGACTTATACCACATGGAACCTTTTTGAATTAAATGGAGTTGTACAAAGTGTAAATCACCACCGAATGTCCCAATTACTTTCTTTTAGTTCTGCTAGGTTTTGTTTTTTGTTTTGTATTTCCTATTGAATATGCTGAAGCCACATTTAAGATTTAATTAAAAATAATTTAATGTACATACTTGTCAAATATGAATGATCTTTAAATTTGGACTTTTCAATTCAATCCTTTAATGTGACGTAGTAGTAGATGCAGTATTATAGGGGAGAATTTGAAGCCTACAGTTATACTCACAGATAATGTCCTTCATAGGCTGCTTTGTGTATAGGGAGCTGTCCTGCCCTATTAGGCACATTACCACTTCCTCCATATTCCAAAAGAAGAGCTATACAGTCTGGATTACCTCCTCCAGCTGCTTCAAACAGTACTGATGCACCATCATCTGCTAAAGCATGAACATCACCACCTGGTGAAAGGATATAAAGGTAATAGTTAAGTCCAAAGGAACTTGGAAGATGTATCTTGTCTTTAAAATATCCTGAATTTCTTTTCTCTTCATGTTCAGTTATTAAAATTGCACCTCTAAGAACAGAACAGAAAAGTTTATAGTAACCAGTTTAGAAATTAAATGTCAAATTCAGCCATCACAGATACAAACGTATATATATTGGGAAAGTGGAGAGAAATCACTTGAGTGACATTTCCTTTGAGTTGAGATACTTAACTGAGGATGTGCAGTATTCTGAAATCCTTTCAAACATGCTTAATCTCAGATTTGCATGTTGCTACTTAAAAAAAAAATTGGTGGAGGAGCAGAAGTAATCACCTCTTGTCACTTCTAACATATATATTATATCATTGTAAACCTTTTGTTTTCTTCCAGTGGAGCAAAAACATTCCCATGTGATGCCTTGCTCCCAAAAAAATCCAATCTTGGGAAAAAAACATGTTCAGTTACAGTAAAACCTCAGAGTTACAAACACCTCGGGAATTGAGGTTGTTTGTTACTCTGAAATGTTCGTAACTCTGAACAAAATGTTATGGTTATTCTTTCAGAAGTTTACAGCTGAACATTGACTTAATACAGCTTTGAAACTTTACTATGCAGAATGCTGTTTTCCCTTTTTTTTTAGTAGTTTACGTTTAACACAGTACTGTACTGTGTTTGTTTTGTTTTGTTTTTGTATCTGCTGCTGCCTGATTGTGTGTTTCCGGTTCCAAATGAGGTGTGTGGTTGACTGATCAATTTGTAACTCGTAACTCTAAGGTTCTACTGTAAATATTCCCTTCTGAGACTTGGAAGCAGGGCCCAGCAAGGTAGCTGGAGACAATTTTTTTTTCTTTTGTGCAGTTACATATTTTTAGGTAAAGATTTCAATGTTAAGTTTAGCTTTTAAGAGTCTTATATGAATTGAGATAATCCCTAGAGTGCTTTGGTTCCATAAACCAAAGAGTGAGGGTCACGTTTTCCCATTCTGTGTCTGTTAAATCATAAACCTTGTAATCTGAGTTTAAACCATGAGATTTGGCATAGTTATAGGCAGGCTACTTTGCAATATGGAACCATTGTGGCAGCGCATCCTAGTGGCTATGGATGGAATTAAAAATATACATATATATTACACAGTTTTATCTTACTTGATTATCCAGTATTAATCTATCTATTGAGTCACTGGTGCAGCGCACATATTGGGTATTTGTCCTGGACCAAATAAACTAACTCTGATGGCTCTCATTCTACATCCACTACAAATGTTCCTTATGCACAGAATCCTCCCAGTGATGTATCAACTATTCTGCTTTGGAGTTTGTTGGACATTAGACAGAGCACACCACAGGTTAATGCTTTGATAAACACAGCTAAGGTGCTGTGGGATTCACTGAGAATCCTGGTAGTATTTAGGTGCTGGATACTTACAAGGCCTGAAATATGTCAAAAAGACTCATTCAATAGTTTGAAAGGGCAACCTTCTGCACCAAGGGAAAAAGCACATTAATGTGAATAAGGAAAAAGTATGCAATTAATTGTCTTTTACAAAAGAAAGTCAGGCACTGGTATTTGCTTGAATATGTGGAAAAACATTTAAACAGGACAGTGATCGGCAATGGTAGTGTAGAAGGACTGAAGCACAGGGTCAGCAGTAAAGGAGGAAGGTCATGGGGAAATATATTGATAGAACGCAACTTAAGACATGTACATCTGACATTTTCATTACTTTCTGTTTGCCTAGCCTATTTAGTTTGTGAGGGACCATGTCTATATATGTGTTTGTTTAGCATTTCTCTTAATGGTGCTACACAATCATGTAGCAAAGATTATTTCAAAGAACACCTTACAGTACTGAAAAATGACTACATTATTCTCATACTTGTCCACAGCATACAACTCTTAGCTTAAAAAAATGAGAGCCTGCCATGGCTGTTTCACTGTCAGTTTGTTGAAATAAAACAAAATCAGACCACCTTTAGTGCTAAAAGTTCCAAAAGACACCTCACAGAAGGATGCAAAAGAACTGCATCATGCCGCCATAGTTTAAATGCTGTGGCCAGGATCAGCAAAGTCTTTTCAAGATTTTAACACAGGGTAGGCAACCTATGGCACTCACACTGCCCGGGTCCTGGCCACCGGTCCAGGGGGCTCTACATTTTAATTTAATTTTAAATGAAGCTTCTTAAACATTTTAAAAACCTTATTTACTTTACATACAACAATAGTTTAGTTATATATTATAGACTTATAGAAAAAGACCTTCTAAAAACGTTAAAATGTATTACTGGCACGCGAAACCTTAAATTAGAGTGAATAAATGAAGACTCGGCACACCACTTCTGAAAGGTTGCCAACCCCTGTTTTAACATAATCTCAGGGCAGCTGGAGCCAATGGAAAGGCTGGATGTTGTCTAAGATGTCTGCTGATCAAGTTTGCTGAAAAAATTTGCATGGGAGAAGAGATGCGAGCCGGTAATTGGCAATCTTCCTAGGAACAGGAAAGTCTACCAGGATGTAGATCAGAACAAAACAACTGTTTCTTCTAATAGAGCAAAGGAGTCAAGTGAAGAGTTGTGCAGTATATTGGGAAACACGTGCTTTGCTCACCAGGGGGAAGGGCACAAGCCACACATAGCAGTGCAGCCAGAGAACACTGATATGTAAATTGCTGCACACGATAAGCATGAAGATACCACTCAGCATGGCTTTCATGGAATCAAGGGGAGCACAACAGGCACAGATGATATGGGTCTAACAACTAGAAAATATTCAAACAGTGGAAATATGGTTGAATATTGGGAAATACTTTGGGTGTTCTGCAGTACATGAAATTGCAAATAATAATAATAATAATAAATAATTAATAACAAAGGGCGCTGACTACAAAGGCCTTACACATTTTCTGTGCCTTTCCCATCTAGTTTTGGCTACAAGACGTAAGCAAATGGCATAGAAACATACATTCCCAATGGTAAGAGATGTATCTGCAGTATTGACCTCAATGTCAGAATATATTCATAGAATCATAGAATATCAGGGTTGGAAGGGACCTCAGGAGGTCATCTAGTCCAACCCCCTGCTCAAAGCAGAACAAATCCCCAACTAAATCATCCCAGCCGGGGCTTTGTCAAGCCTGACCTTAAAAACCTCTAAGGAAGGAGATTCCACCACCTCCCTAGGTAACCCGTTCCAGTGCTTCACCACCCTCCTAGTGAAAAAGTTTTTCCCAATATCCAACTTAAATCTCCCCCAGTGCAACTTGAGACCATTACTCCTTGTTCTGTCATCTGCTACCACTGAGAACAGTGTAGATCCATCCTCTTTGGAACCCCATTTCAGGTAGTTGAAAGCAGCTATCAAATCCCCCCTCATTCTTCTCTTCTGCAGACTAAACAATCCCAGCCCCACAGCCTCATAAGTCATGTGTTCCAGCCCTCTAATTATTTTTGTTGCCCTCTGCTGGACTCTTTCCAATTTTTCCACATCCTTCTTGTAGTGTGGGGCCCAAAACTGGGCACAGTACTCCAGATGAGGCCTCACCAATGCCGAATAGAGGGGAATGATCACGTCCCTCGATCTGCTGTCAATGCTCCTACTTATACAGCCCAAAATGCCGTTAGCCTTTTTGGCAACAAGGGCACACTGTTGACTCATATCCAGCTTCTCGTCCACTGGAACCCGTAGGTCCTTTTCTGCAGAACTGCTGCTTAGCCAGTCGGTCCCTAGTCTATAGCAATGCATGGGATTCTTCCATCCTAAGTGCAGGATTCTGCACTTGTCCTTGTTGAACCTCATCAGATTTCTTTTGGCCCAATCCTCTAGTTTGTCTAGGTTCCTCTGTATCCCTCTGTATCCTATCCTATTCCTGATTGTCTGTGTCATGGTTCCTGGTAAACTGCCCTGCTAAGACCCTCTACCAGTCCCCTGAGTACACTCTTCTCAAGTGACAGGCCTGTGCCTCCACATCTCTTTTGGAAAAGTGCCTGTGGACCAACCATTCCCTGACTGGGTCTCTAAGTTACATGTCGGGGCACAGCTGGCTCCCAGCCTGGTCATTAGGCAACCCAGCAAGCTCAGCTGGGCCCAATGAGCCCTCTCCTAATGGTTGTGCTTCCTGATTGGGCAGGGGAGCCAGCAGCCTGCTACTTGAGCCTTGCAGTAGCACCAGTACAGCAGCTGCTCAATGTGAACCATGCCTGTAGCAGTGCTTACACTGTGTGCACTTTGACTTCTTGCCCCAGCCACAGCTTCCCTTCTCCATTCTGGTTTCTGACTCCTAGCTCCAACTCCTGGTGACGTCCCTGATTATGACTCTGGCTTACCCTTTGGCTTAGACTTTGACTTCTGACTTCAGTTCTGACCTTCTGCTTGGCCCCTGATTCCTGCTTCACCCTGGAGTCGGTGCCTGATCCCTGGATGCTTATCATTACCTGAACTGCCACCACAAGCACCAGGTCAGGTCCTGCTCCACCCAATAGGTAGGCCTCACAGGCCCTGAGAGCTTATGTTATACCCTTCTGGTTACCATCCAACCATATTACTTAGGAGGTCAAGTTGGCTTGGCGCCTGCAAAAGTTTCCCTCAGGGAGCCTTCAGCCAGTAGCAGTGTGCAGTGACACATCAGCAGCTTCTCCAGAACAAAGGATGATTTATTATTTATTTTATCTCTCTTCACAGCTATAAACCTGGCTATGGTATTTGAGAGGAAGCTCCTTATCTAGGTCATTGTTTTTTCTTTCCTGCCTAGTTTTGTAACCAATCCCTTTTCATCTAACTCTGTGCATTCAGGAAGGGTAATATCACCCAGGTACACTGAAGGGCATAAAATATTTATAAAAAAACACAAATATTTCCTAGTTCTCCACAGTTTGTATGGCTCAATCATTTAAAGACAAACAAAGTTTAATTCCTTCTGACCAAAACAGCTGAAGTCTGTGAATGAAGCCAAGCAACAGCCAATTTTGTAGAGCAGTGTGATTTAGGGGACTGATTTTAGGGATGGAAGCAAGCAGCTCCTGAGTTCTAATCTATATTCCGCTATTGTCTCACCCTTGTGTCTATTACCCCACCTATAACATTGAGTCATAATACTTACCTACCTACCTCACAGGCATGTAATGAGGATGTCTGTGCAGTGCTTCGTTACTGTAAAGCACTATATAAGCGTAAAATATTATTCTAAATAGTCAAGCACTTTGGAGAATAATTCCAATGCTGCACTGATACACTACATTATGCATGCTGCCTGCCAAAGTGGACCATATTTCAGGACCATCTGGAAGGGTTGACCCTACCCATTCAGATGATTGGGACTATGAAAAGAGAGAGAAGTCAGGATGGAAGGCACTGTGGATTGCCAAGTTTGGGATATGTTTGTACAGTACTTTGAAAATATAAAGTGCTATATAATTTCTAAGTACAGTTAGGAATTAATGTGTGCTATAAATTGATACACTGTACCCATGAAACAGCTTGCAGGGGGCAGTGTAAATAACATAAAGCCAATGCTAAATGTACTGAACTGTAACTGAACTGTAAAGCCCTGATGGAAGCTGCTATGTAGATTAGTAATTTAATTGCATGCCAGAGCAACAACTGTAAAAGACTGTTCTTTGAGTCTGCAACTAACAAACTTCAATCATTGCTATAAACATGGAATGCTGACAATGATATGAACTCTAACAGAAACCTTAAACACATTACAACAGCACTCTGTTACGTTGGTATTGAGAAACTAGATAGTATGAAGATTAAAATATTAAATATAGCTTAACATAAGTAATAAATGAACATCTGAGTAAGCGAGTATATTGCTGCTGTGCACAGGTGAAAATTGCTCCGTGTTGGTAAAAAAGTATCTATATAAAACACTCATGGGTGTCATGTAATTCTTTTTTGTTTCTGGGATACACTTTCAACTGTTGTCTCTTCTATCATTTAAAACATATTTAACTGTGATAGAACTACACCCATTGTGTAAAGGAGGGTTTATGTAGATGAGTCTGAATACTGTATTCTAGACACTCCTAATATGCTGGGTTTTTTTAAAGAAAATAAGTGACATTGGAAATATACAAGTATAAATGAATAGTAAAAAAAGATGGATTGTAGATTGACATTATGGACAGTGAAGATTAGTTCCTTTTATTGCCAGCAGGAGTGTTCTATTAGGGATTTCCTATCGGAAAAGAGATCAGAATGTACCATTGTATTACCACATTACATTTCATGCTTTTAACCCAAAGTCCAAGGGTTTCACTGATTTACAGCTCAATATAAAGGGACAGCCGAGATGGAAATTGGGAAAAATTAGATTATGTCTACACTTAAACCACTACAGCGGTGCAGCTACAGCATTATAGCGCTTCAGTGTAGAGCAGACAGTCATTACAGTGACGGGAGAGGTTCTCCCTTTGCTGTAGTTAATCCACCTTCCCGAGAGGCAGAGACGAAAGAATTCTTCCATTGACCTAATACCATCTACACCAGGGGTTAGGTCAGTTTAATTACCTTTTCATACCTCTGAGTAACGTGACTGGATTGACCTAACTCAGTGGTGCTCAAACTTATTACACAGGAGGGCCTCTATAAACCTAAGCACAACCTTGTGTGGGCCAAGCAGATTCTACATATTTTAATAAGATTTAATGTCACCTGTATTGATTTATATTTTAAGTTCAGCTTGTTCCATAGGTATTTAGATAGATTGTTTCTATGTTCAGTATTGTCTATTTACACACTTGTGTAAACTAAAATGATGTCAACATAATGACAAAACGCTAATGAATTGGCCATTAGTATATTGTGTTGAAGCAGGCCCTGGGCCTTATGAAATGCTCTGGTGGGCCGTAGGTTGGGCACTGCTGACATAACTTTTTAGTGTAGACCTGCCCTTTAGTCTTGTGTGTTAACTGGCCAGGTGACTGAACAGAAAACGTGACACATTTTTCAAAATATCCAAACAAAAATTGTGGAACTAACGAAGTGCCTGTTCAATTTCATTGTACAAGCGTGTCTCTTTTAGTCATACCCATCCTGATCTTTCATTGGAAAACTATCCATTTAGATTGTGAGTGCTTCAGGGTAAGTATGTTGTCTTCACATCTGTCTGTAAAACATTTAGCATACTATGGCACTAGAATACGAATTAACAATAGTGTTTAGCATTTTTCTAGCACTTTTACCCATAGATCTTAAAGGAACATTGTCCCTGTTTAACAGATGGGGAAACAAATACAGAAATCTTAAATGATGTGACAGAAAGGAGAGGGAGAGGTTGCAGCTTCAGAAAGAGGGGGGAAGCAACACACTTGAAAGAGTCACAGTTCACTGAGGCTAGAAATTAATGCTATCTACCCATTGAAATCCAGGATTCCTGACTTTCTATGGTGTCAAGCATTGGTTTCCACTCATGGAAAGTCATGGAATAGGCTTTAAAATAATTTTCTGGTTATCAGCTGCCTCTTGGGGTACGTCTACACTGCGATAAGAAATCTGCAGCTGTGAGCCTCAGAGCCTGGGTCAACTGTCTTGGGCGTGCGCTACAGGGCTAAAAATAGCAGTGTAGACATTTGGGCTCTCAGACCCTTCCCTTTTGCTGGGTTTCAGAGCCAGGGTCCAGCCCAAGCCCAAACATTTACACTGCTATTTTTAACCCTGTAGTGTAAGCCCAAGTCAGCTGACCCAGGCTCTGAGACTCGCTGCCATGGGATTTTTATTGCAGTATGGACACACCCTTGCTGTCTCCTTGGTGATCACACAATAAATAACACCAGCAATGAGTAGGTTATGTTTGGAACCAAGATGAAAAAAGAGAAAATCAAATGGAGAACCCCAAACAAGCTAAAATTAAAGTAGATTTGTTTAGACCAAAGTTGCTCTCTAGCTCACTGTGATCTTCAATATTTATTTTTTTAAACACAGTGTAAGATCAGTGACACTTACCTCCCTTTTAATGTGATCAGATATATGTGGCCTCACATATGCCCTGGTAACCAGACAATATGTATGCAGCTGCAGAAGCACAAATCTTTACCTGCCTACATACCTTTATGAATAAGATGCTCCAGCACATCACAGTGTCCATATTCAGCAGCAACTCCTAATGGCGTTACCCCATAACCATCTTTCAAGTGCACATTTCCTCCATTCTTCAGAAGCAGAGAAACAATCTCTTTGTAGCCTTGTTTTGCAGCTTCATGCATTGCTGACCAGCGTTTTACACATGGCTGGTGGATACGACAGTTGTATTTAATCAGAGCCAATACCATTTCGTAAGAGCCCCGTCTCACAGCTTGAAAATATGGGAAAAGAAGAAAAAAAGACACCATTAGAGATCTCGTTACACATGCTGAAAGATGAATTGTGAGGCTTACATTTTTTTCAGTGTTTGGAGAAAATTAAGCAGTTCATCCATGTGGGCCAAATTCAGACCTCTTTCCTAGCAGTCCGTGGACCAAATACACTGGCAAGTAAAGGATGGTGTAAGTTACATACTGGGTGTAAGCTGGTCGGGCAATCATGGTACTTGCATGCAAATGGTAAAATAGTGTAACTGGCACTGATTGACATTCAGTGTGTATGCAAAATTTATGTTCTGAGGCTACAGAAGCAGGAGTATTGCAAGAAAAGTAACAAACAGAAAGGTAAAAGCAAAAACAGAAGGGTACTGCTTTATCTTACTCCATCCAGTTAGTTGCTTTTGCAGCTACACCACTTTTCCTTCCCCCTTGGCAAGTAAGGTACATTCTCAGGGCTTTGTTCTTCATGTATGGATCTCCCAAAGATCTCTATCAGTGTTCCACATATGCCAGGTTTGTAAGATTGGCCTTCCACTGAACACTATGTTGATAGACATTTGCTACTTAACATGAACACCCATTCTTCTTTCCAACTTGGATCTAGTGTACAACCTTCACCACCATTTGTCACAGTTGAATACAGCCTTTACCTTTAATGCTACAGCAAACTCTTCAATGTTCTCCCAGTGTTCCAACTATCCCACTTATTAGGTCAGCTTCTAATTCTAATGCCTAAACTGATGTTCACTGGTTGTCACTATTTAACAGTAATATTTCTACCTTTATCTTCATATGGTTTATACTTTTTTGTGCCTTGTTTTGACTTTCACATTCTGTATGAGCTTGGTAGTATATCTTTAACGTATAATGGCACTTCCATTGATTTCAATTCGATTTTTTCTTTCAATGGATAGCATGATCTGACCCAGAATTTTTGGACAAATATTCAATATTCTGTGAAACTTCAAGGCCTCAGCAGTAATAACCAATAATAAATGTTTGAATAAATACACAAGCTTTCCCCTCAAAAAAACATTCTTTGTGATTACTTAGTTTCAGCTGATCTCTGTTGTGTGATAATGCTATTCATAGTTACTTTGACTTCGATGGAGTTTTAGGTACCCAACTAAAGAGTCCTCTAATCTACGGCTCTCTTGTAGAGTTAGTGCAGGAGTAATTAAGTTAAATTAAAAGCAATTTTCAATTGCAACTTATATTGAGTGGTAAGTGCTTGATGATGCTCTCACTGACTTCAGTGTGACTAGGATTGAACTGTAAGGTGCAAAACACCCTCCACTCCCACAGACTCGATTACAACTGACAACAGCCCCAAAAAACTCAACCTATCAGGAAATCATAAATAGAAATATCCAGGAGAGTAAATTTAGTGGGGAAGAAAAAAAATCCTTTTCCTTCAATTCTAGTTGAGTTTACTCTTCCTGGTATTCATCAAACAGCAATGGCTAATAATCTTATCTTAAAAGTTCTATGGATTTGCAACTACTGGAAAGAACTGGAGAAATACAAAGCAATAAATCTAAAGAAACTTTTATAGATCCTTTGTGGCTCAGACCTTAACATTTTAATACATTAATTGCTTCATTGGGTATTCTTTGTGGTTAGAATTGACAAAAGTTAGTACCCATCAAATGTAATGTTTTAATAAGTCTGATCATTGTATTTCGGTATGTATGATGTGGGAATTGTATTAATTTTACAGATTGATTTTCTTCATAAGGCCTTGAGTACTTTCATTTTCAACAAGAGCTGGAAGCTGGTGCACTTAAATTACTAATATAGGGTAAAGCTCATTTAAATATATCAGCAGAAAACTTTCCAAAAGAATAATCTGGCTTTGAACTGAGTTATTCCTTAGTTATTTAGTTGCATGCCATTTTCCACAAATTCTTTCTGAAAGTGAAAATACCCAACTACTCCTGACAAAGCCTGTAAAAATAATAAAATTCCATTATATTCTCCAGTAGGCCACCCACAGTCATAAACAACTATTTGTAAAACATCCAAGATTTCATTAAAAGTTGTGCAGCCTCTAGTTAAACCCTCACTTGGACTGTTGACCATTACTTGTGCCTTGAGTGGTCACAATAGGCCAGATTTTTAAAGGTAATTAGGCACCTCTGATGGGGTATGCTCCCCCATATTAGTCCTGAAGGGGGTCAATTTAGGTCACATACGCCAATTAACCTATAAGGCTGCAAACCGGGGAATATTTAGGCTGAGAGGCAATCCCTAATTAAGGGAAGTTTACCTGTGCAGGAACAGGTGGGGCTTCTATAAAACCAGGGAGCTGGTAGCAGAAAGAGGGCTCGGGGGAAGAGGGCTGCAGGCCCTCTCCCTGGGACAAGGGAGACACAGATTTAGACCCCAGAGGAAGGATTTGTGTAGTAGACCCAGAGGAAAAGATTTGGCTAGAGAGGTGGAGAAGGTGAGGTAGGAAACACTGCGAGTGACAGGACGGTTTGTGGTTGTCTGGATCTTTGCTGCTGGAGATAGGGCCCTGGACTGGAATCCAGAGTAGAGGGTGGACCTGGATTCCCCTCCCAGCTACTGAGTGAGTGGCACAATTTGGGCAGTGAACTTGGAGGCTTTCTGGGGCCATGTGTTCTATTCACTGAGTAAGTGGCCCACCCAGGGTAGTGGACTTAAGGATTGCCTGGGATGGTGAGGAAGGTGTTGATATTCCAATATTCCTGGAAGGGGAAACACCATACTAACTCAGCTGGAGGGCTGAGTCACAAAGAAGAAGCTGCTACTCCTGGAGCAAGAGAGGAGTTGCAGACCGAGAGAGACAAGGAGCCGAGGAACCACAAAAAGGACATTGTGCTTGAAGAGCTAATCCCCAGAGTGGCTATCAGGAGGCCCAGGTGTGGTGAGCAGAGGTTCCCGTGATAGCATTTTAAGATGCAGATTGTCATGTAGAATGACATCAATGGGAGTTAGGCACCCAGGTGTTTTTGAAAATCCCATTAGGTGCCTATCTGCATCTCTAGGCACCTAAATACCTTTAAAAATCTGGCCCCTGGGGCCTGATCTAAAGTCCAGTGAAGTCAATGGGAGTCTTTCCATTCAAAGGACTTTGGGTAACTAAACATGTACAGAAAATGAACTATCTGCTTCCACTTACAGATGGTCCCTCTGTTTCAGGGATAAGGCACATTGGCAAGGCAGTGTAGGAAAACTTCAGCTGCCACTGCCTGTGCTGTATCTATTCTGTAAATAAGGAAAGGAACTCAGTTTCCAGGAACATCAACCCTGCATCTTTCATATGCACTAAATTCATATGAAAAATTTTAAAAAGAAAAGTTCTACCAAATCAAATGTAACAGCAAAAGTAAGGGGGTAGCTGTGTTAGTCTGTATCCACAAAAACAACAAGGAGTCCGGTGGCACCTTAAAGACTAACAGATTTATTTGGGCTTAAGCTTTTGTGGGTAAAAACCCACTTCTTCTACCCACGAAAGCTTATGCCCAAATAAATCTGTAAGTCTTTAAGGTGCCACTGGACTCCTTGTTGTTTTTAACAAAAATAAAATGGTTTAAAATATTTCTCCAGAAAAACAAAACAGTAGAACTTCCAGGTGTAACTATTTTTTTTTAAATGTGGGATAACCTCTGTGTTCTGTTACACAACATACTAGTTGCAGAAAGCAAATACATCTTTTGGTCAAGTCCTTGCAATCAATATAAGAATGTTCTACCAGGTGCATTAGAATTTGTGATGTCTTCCCCAAATCTTCAAGGCAACTCAGGATGCACATTCCAGAAATCATTTGATCAGCGTCTGATTGCATCTCAAATTCACTCTGGAGCTGTAAGCCAGCCAGCCCACCCAACTGAGTGTTTGTTGTGACTCATAGGTGGGAGTTTGGCACTGGAATTTAGGCTGAAAGTGCTCTGATTTGCTGAAGCGGTAGCAGGAGAGAAAGAGAAAAGATGGAATATTGGAATAGCATCTATTCAAAAGTTGGGGTCCATACCTAGTTTTCTCTCAGAAGACTAGATGAAAGACTATAAAGGTTACTTTTGTAATTCATGTGAAACAAAGAATAGAAAATAATTTATGCAGGGAGGCAAATGTTGCCTCTCTGAAATATAAATCTCTCATCTCTATTATAGAAAGGTGCTTTTAAAATGTTCAGCACAAACTCAGTGTCAGTGAATTAAACCCCTCAGTTGTTCATACAGCAGGAGAGTGGAAATTCCCCAAGATGCCTTGGCAATCTCTTGGTGAAAAGTAGTTGGTAAAACTTCTTAAAGAAAGAGGACTCCTTGTGATGTTGCACTCCATATGATTTTATAAAAATATGCTAATGAGTGTGAATATAATATAACTGAAATATGCTTCATGCAAAAGGTCTCTTGTAAGGTATCATTAGAAAGCTTATAATCTACTTTAGACTTGCGTATTTTATTTGATTTTGCTTGGTATCTTACTCTGTTCTATCTGTTATTACTTGGAACCACTTAAATCCTACTATTTATATTTAATAAAATCATTTTTGCTTATTAATTGACCCAGAGTAAGTAATTAATTCCTGGGGGAGCAAACAGCTGTGCATATCTCTCAGTGTTATAGAGGGCAGACAATTTATGAGTTTACCCTGTATACGCTTTATACAGAGTAAAATGGATTTATTTGGGGTTTGGATCCCATTGGGAACTGGGGATCTGGGTGCTAGAGACAGGAGCACTTTCTAAGCCGTTTTCAGTTAAGTCTGCAGCTTTTGGGGGATGTGGTTCAGACCTGGGTCTGTGTTTGTAGCAGGCTAGAGTGTCTGGCTCAACAAGACAGGGTACTGAAGTCCCAAGCTGGCAGGGAAAACGGGCTCAGAGGTAGTCTCAGCACATCAGGTGGCAGGCCCAAGGGGGTCTCTGTGACCCAACCCGTCACACTCCTAATTACTTTTCCTGAATGTACAAAGGTATTCCTTCTGTTTAGCGTATAGATCAACTCCTTTTTATAACTGTGTTCCTTGTACTTTCTTTGTCCAAATTCTATTAGTTCAACTTAAGAATATATTTATTTCATTATTTTCACCTACCTTTTGTCTAATGTTTATAACTCTAAGGACATAAATTAATTACAGTGGGAAGAAACCTAACATGACCACTTCTGAAACATGCCCCTACAACATCATGCAGGGTCTCCTCCTGCACCCACTTCAGTCGATAACAAAGCTCTCACAGATTTCAAGAGTGAGGGATCAGACTCATATGTCTACATGGCAGGATTAGTAAAATTTGAGTGAGCAGACTCTGGATTTGTTAACCTAAGGCTTGAGTGCCTGTAGTCATTTGTAACCCCAGGTTAGGAATTGAACCACGGGTCCCAATCTGGGGCTTCAGTTTCTACACTACATTAAGCAGGGCTAAATCCTACCATCCATATCCCAGACTTCCTAGCACCCTCTCAAAATGTGGCCCCTGTAGCCCTTTGTTCATGGTGCAAGCATGGGAAAACTTGACTGTTCACCAAATTTGTCTGTCCAGAGGACAAAGAAAGTTGGCCCATGGAATTGTGAAATATTTTTTGCAGACTCCCAGAGCATGAATCCAGTGGGGCAACATCTACATTACAAAGCAACAGGGCTTGAACCTGAATCCCAGCTTGACTCAGGCTCAGACCCTCCACCCCTGTGGGGTCCTGGGACCCTGAGTCTGAGCCCTGCATTAGCACAATATGTGTGTAGAAGGAAGGGGGGTCAGACTTGAACTTGAGTTTGAATGCTGGGCTTACACTGCAGTGTAGACATACCCATAGGTACCAGAAAATCAACAATTAACCCTGAAAATTTACTCAAGCAAAATTAACATTATTTGGTGGCAGCATAATCCATTTTTATTTTCCCTCTAAAAACTGAATAGCAACTAAGCCATTTTAGCCAATTGGAATAGTCAAGTGAGTAAGGACTAGTCACATGAAGAAGGGTTTGCAGGAGCAGGCCCCAGATCCCCTTGTTATGGTTGGCTTTGGGGAATGCAGGAACTAGATAGAATAGTTTAGAACACTGAAAACTCTGCTATTCGTGTTGGTTTAATTCATAGAAAGGAAGCAATTACCAATGAGAAGAGGAGTTTCTCCTTTATTGTTTGTGGTATTAGGCCAAACACCCTTTTCCAATAATGTTCTTACATTTTCCACAAAACCAGCTTTTGCTGCCAAAGTTAACGGTGTTTCTCCATCACATGTTTTGTATTCCCACATTGATTTATAAGATGCTAGAGTTCAGAAAGTAGAAAACAAAACACAAAATTAAAATGACAAGCACCTAGGACATAACACAAATGCCATGTTGATAAATATCTGCATGAAAATGAATTTACAACTATTTTTAACTTTGACTTACTAGTTAGTCCTGCCACAATGGTTGACTATTGTAGTCAGTGATTAGATCATGCAGCTCTTCTCTGAATAATTGTAGTTTTCTGAACAAAGTCATTCAAAACCGACCAACCTCTCTGCCGGTGTACATAGGTGGAGCTTCACTGAAGTCAACAGAGCTGTGCCAATTTACACCAGCAGAGAATTTGGCCCATGTGACTGACGAAGCCATGAAACAGAGGAGAGTTTTCTCATACATTTTGCAGATATTGATTCTATTCTTGTGTTTGTCTATTTATTGCTCCTTGTCTGGTATCTTTCCAATCTCATAGCCCTGTGGGGTGTCTTGAGCTCACTCACCATCCAGAATGATTTCAAGTATTTGCTGAATTGGCTGAGCTGCAGCCTCATGAAGTGGAAACCAACCTCTTTCATCAGCTTCATCCAAAGCATATTTATGTTTCACATAGTTCCGAAGATCAAATACTTGGCCTGAAACAAAAAATAGTGCATATCTGAAAAAAATAGGACAAGCTCAGTGCTTTGCACAGTGAATATTTTATTTCAATATTTGTACCTTGTCTTATGGCTGTTATAAGTTTCCTATTTTGATCACTGGGTGGTACAAATCTGTTGAAGGGATGACAGAAGATATCAAGTATACACAATATAGATACATTACATTAAAGCACAATTTTTAGTGGTTTTAATCACCTGTTTCCACTGGTTTTCAACTTTAGGTTTATATCACCTCAGTTACAAATCCTGATTCACTATGTGACCTGACAGAGCACTCAGGAATGTTAGATACAGGATGACAATTTGAACAGACTCTGGACCCCAGGCTTCAGGCCAAAGATGACCCAGACTTGCCAATAGTAGGAGTGGGGGCAGCCGGCTTCAGCAGTGTTACTGAGCCTGCTTAGTCCATGTGAGCATGCTCAGTACAAGCCAAGCAGCAAATCTGGGGGTGGCACATGACCCCTACATGCCCCCCCACTCATTGCCTAGGCTCTGCCTCAGGCCAGTGATAGGTCTGTTTGGTTGTGTCTATGCTAGCCTTTTTTCTGAAGTTTCCCTCTGCAGCTAACATAATACAGTTCCAATGTATAGACACAGTTGCCAACATTTTTAACAATGTCATTTAAACCTATTCAGAGCAGATCTATGTGATACGGTGATAAAAATGCCAATGGCTGCCAGGACCCTGAGATACTATGACAACAAGTACAACAGCATAATAGTAGGAATCAGCCAAATCATAGATGAAAATGGACAGTGGCACTGTTTGACAGTCTTCAATGAAGAAATAGGCTCTGATCTTGCAATAGGAAATAGGAACCACATGTGGACCTTTACTTTCTCAGAGTTCCATTGATCCCATTATAGGATCAAAGTCATAAATTGAATTGGGCGGTTAACACTTGTCTGCCTTCGCCTTCATTTTCAAATACTGTAGAGCATTTTACAAAAAGTCCTTCAATTTATAGTGATCAAAAACGTATAGTGGGGTTTTTGCCATACAGCTCCCATTAAAGCCAAGTTTTGTTTCATCAATAGAGGTAGCTAACAGGTAACATTTTCAAAAGCATCTTAGTGACTTAGAAAATGAAGACCAATTTTCAAAAATGATGTAGGTACTTAGAAACCAAAGTCTCATTGAAAGCCCATGGGACCTGTAGGCTCCTAAATCATTTAGGCACTTTTGAAAATTTTACTCAACATCTACAACAGAAATGCTACCTACATGTCATATCTGAGGGCAGTTGGCTCAAACAGAAAACAATCGATGCTAATATATATTAATGATTTTAAAAATACTAACCATGTTTTTAATGCAAAACTCAATAATTTTGTTTTTCACAATTTAAAAACAAATAAAACTGTACCACAGTTTTAACAGTTTTGCTGTTTTAGGGTCCAATCCTGCAGTTCCTCTGTGTGGGTAATTCCCATTGACTTCAGTGAGAATTTTCTGAGTGGAAGTGCTATGAAATCAGATAGTTAAATACAATTTCTTGAATTACTATAATTGGATGAAATGTTGGCAGTCATTGCACAATTATCCATCAGAAGATCCATGGCGTGTGATGGAGGCATGAGGCAGAAGTTGTCTGCCTGTATTCTGGCTCTTCCTAATACCCGGCACAGGCCGCTCTGCAAGACCTCTGCTATAAGGTGGAATCTATGAGTCAGAGGTGTGTTCTACACATTTGGGCTTATGCCCAATAGTCCTTGCACAGAGCTCTTCCTTTTCTTCCCACCAATACAGACATGTATTTTGCATTGAGCTTCTTAGCTCTGGATTCTGAATGCACATTAAGGACACAACCCTGAAATCAATGGGACTTACTCACATCATAAAGTTAGTCATATGCATAAATCTGTGCTCCATCAAGGCCTAACGTTTCTTTTACAGAATATGCATGTGTCAGTGTGGCTGCTACACCATTTTCTGCACACTGGCCAGAATTCTCCCCAGAAAGCCTTTTAAATGTGGTTATAACTATAGAATACTTAGGGTATGTCTACATTGTAATGTAATCCCAGGGTTTGAACTCAGGCTCAAGCCTAAACCCCCTTCCATCTACACACACACCGCACTAATCCAGGACCCGGGCCCAGGCCCCCAGTGGGGTGGAAGGTCTGAGCCTCAGGCCTTGTCTACTGGGGTAAGTCGACCTAAGTTACACTCCTCCAGCGACGTGAATAACGTAGGTGGAGTCGACGTAGTTTAGGTCGACTTACAGCGGTGTCTACACCGTGCTGCGTCAATGGGAGATGCTCTCTCATCAGCGTACCTAACTCCTCTTGTTTTGGTGGAGTACTGGAGTCAACTGGAGAGCGCTCTGTGATTGATTTAGTGGGTCTTCACTAGACCCACTAAATCGACCCCCGCTGCATCGATCATAGCAGCATCAATCCCCAGTAAATGTAGACATGGCCTGAGTCACCCAGGGTTTATGCCCTATTGTTTTGCAGTGTAGACTCAGCACTACTGGACTTGTGCTCTGGGCATCCGCCAGAAGTATTCCACAATCCCATGGCTGACTGACTTTGTCCTCTGGACAGACAAGTTTGGTGGACAGTCCAGTTTTTCCATGCTTGCACCACAAACAAAGGGCTAGAGCAGTCACATTTTGAGAGGGCATTAGGAAGTCTGGGATATGGGTGGTCGGACTTGGACCTGCATAATGCAATATAGATGCTGGAGCCGCAGGTTGGGACCCACGGTTCAACAATTCCTAACCTGGGGCTACAAATGAGCGTAGATGCTCAAGCACTAGGTTAACAAACTCCAGGTCTGCTAACTCAAGCTCTACTAACCCTGGGCTTACATTGCAGTGTAGACGTACTGTGACACTACACCACATATTCTTCATAGATATATTGTTATAATATGATTAAAGCATAACTATATGTTATGTGCAAGATAAGGAGTGAGGTATCATTGGAAAGGTTATGATTTGCTGAATATGATTATCCTATTTGTATGCATGTCTCATTTTTGTATCTAAAGTTAGGAATATTGACTATACATCTGTACTACAAAAGTATTTGCAATTGGGGAATGCCCACCAGACAGAATGCAATCAGTCTGGCTGGCTAGCTGGGGACAAGTCAATGGACCATTAGGGAGAAAAATAGGTCTTTGAAGATGCTAATCTCCCACCTTCCTGAGATGCTACAAACAGCCCTTGAATCATGGCTGCTTTGACACTGCAGGGTCATGTGATCATGTTACCTGGTACTGGACTCCATGATAGAATACCAGTATTTTTCCACTGCGGGGTGGGGTGGAGAGAACCACACTGAAAAACAAAGGATTCCCGCCATATGTAAAACCTATGTAAGGCCAGGGAGGGACATAATCAGTGTTCATTCTTCACTGATGACTGCTTTGAACATCTAAGAAACAAAGACGAAGAGTGGGGAGAAGGACTGAGACCAGGCTGGGAAGGTGCCTGGCCTGTGAAAGAAATACCTGGAGTTTTAAGCTGCAAGCAAGAGCAGCTTGCCTGCAAGAACCTCTGCAATCTACCTAAAATAACATTTAGGGTAAGAAACTACTACCTGTAACCAGTTTTTTGTATCGTTCTCTGTGCAGCATAAGACAATACAATTTTGGGTTTACACTTCAGAGGGGGTGTGCACTTGAGTACTGGGCAATTCCCTACCTGAAGCCTCCCCCATACAGTGCTTATTTCAGTGTCTGTATCTTTCTACAGCTGGGTGTGTCCCTACCTGTGTGTGTGCTGCTTGAGGGCCTGGCTCAGCAGGACCGTGTAAGGGAGCCCAGGCTGGTGGAACAGGAGGGCTCAGTGGTACCCCAATACATCAGGTGGGACCCCAGAGGGCGGGGGCAACCCATCACACATACCCAGAGAGTACAAACAAAGCATCGTCCATTTTCTTCAAAAAGAGGATTATTTACTAGCATGTAACTAATGAAGACAGTTATATTATGTTTGCTGTATTCAGTCATGTCTTCATACAGGGCCTGGCTGTAAACACAAACACAGATAATAGCCAAACTAAAATTAAAATGCTAGGATGACATAAATAAATTTTTAATTTCAACTGTCGAGAACACTGAAAGAATTTGCTATTTTCTCATCACATGTATGTGTTTTCTGACTTACTAAAGTACCTTTCATGGTAATGGGAAGTTGTTGGCTGACTGGCTTCAATTGATTCTTGAATACTAAGCTGAATTGCATAAGCAGTGAGATGGTCTTCAATAGAGTCCTCATTTCCTTCCATCATCTTATATGAAAGGTTGAGCTGTTGTCAAGAAAAAAAAAATAGAAAAATGTACTGTTAAGGGCCAGATTCTGCCACTCTTATTCATGGTGAATGATACTTCATTCTGAGGGCTTGTATTCATGGCAAGTCACTGTGTAGCAATCCAGAATTTGAATGCATCAGCTTGCAGCACAGTAACATCCTATGTAGACACTACTACATCATAGCTAAGCCCCTTTGTTTTCAGTTTAAATTAGGGCTGTCAATTAATTGCAGTTAACTCAAGTGATTAAAAAATTAATCGCAATTAATCACAGTGTTAATCACATTGTTAAACAATAGAATATGAATTCAAATTTATTAAATATTTTGGATGTTTCTCTACATTTTCAAATATTGATTTCAATTACAACACAGAATACGAAGTGTACACTGCTCACTTTATATTATTATTTTTATTACAAATATTTGCACTGTAAAAGTGATAAACAAAAGAAACAGTATTTTTCAATTCACCTCCTACAAGTACGATAGTGCAATCTCTTTATCATGAAAGTGCAACTTACAAATGTAGATTTTTTTTGTTTGGTAACTGCACTCAAAAACAAAACAATACAGAACTTTAGAGCCTACAAGACCACTCAGTCCTACTTCTTGTTCAGCCAATCGCTAAGACCAACAAGATTGTTTACATTTACGGGAGATAATGCTGCCCACTTCTTATTTACAATGTCATCAGAAAATGAGAACAGGCATTTGCATGGGACTTTTGTAGCTGGCATTACAGGATATTTACATGCCAGATATGCTAAACATTCATATGGCCCTTCATGCTTCAGCCACCATTCCAGAGGACATGCTTCCATGCTGATGACACTCGTTAAAAAAATAATGCGTTCATTAAATTTGTGACTGAACTCCTTGGGGGAGAATTGTATGTCTCTGGCTCTATTTTACCCGCATTATGCCATATATTTCATGTTATAGTAAGCTCGGATGATGACTCAGCACATGTTGTTCATTTTAAGGACACTTTCGCTGCAGATTTGACAAAACACAAAGAAGGTACCAATGTGAGATTTCTAAAGATAGCTATAGCTACCCAAGGTTTAAGAATCTGAAGTGCCTTCTAAAATCTGAGAAGGATGAGGTGTGGCGCATGCTTTCAGAAGTCTTAAAAGAGCAACACTCCGATGTGGAAACTACAGAACCCAAACCACCAAAAAAGAAAATCAACCTTCTGCTGGTGGCATATGATTCAGATTATGAAAATGAACATGTATCGGTCCGCACTGCTTTGGATTGTTATCGAGCAGAACCCATCATCAGCACGATCACATGTCCTCTGGAATGGTGGTTGAAGCATGAAGGGACGTAGGAATCTTTAGCACATCTGGCATGTAAATATCTTGCGACGCCGGCTACAACAGTGCAATGAGAACGCCTGTTCTCACTTTCAGGTGACATTGTGAATAAGAAGCGGGCAGCATTATCTCCTGCAAATGTAAACAAACTTGTTTGTCTGAGCGATTGGCTGAACAAGAAATAGGACTGAGTGGAGCTGTAGGCTATAAAGTTTTACATTGTTTTATTTTTGAATTCACTTATTTTTTGTACATAATTCCATGTTTGTAAATTCTGCGCACATTTTCAAATTCTGCAAAATTCTACATATTTTATTTATCAAAATAACACAATATAATCACACAAGCTTCAATTATTTTTGGTCATTTATTTCAAAATACCTGTCAGCAAGTATGTCTTACAATACAGACAACAAAAAATATTTAGGAATTTTTTTTGACAAATAGATTCCTTACTAGGCATATTAATACAGAACTCTCAGTAATAATTCATTTAAACTACAATACAGAACCATATTTCCCGCACCCCTCAGAAGAAGTGTAAAGGCTTGAGGGAGTCAGGGGTAATGGAGGACTGAGGGAGAGGGAAGTAATTGCTGGGAAGGAGCCTAGGTGTGAACTTGGAGGGTTGTTGGGTATGGGTGGGAAAAGTATGGAACAGGCTTTTGGGAGGGCTGGGAGGGATTGCTAGGGAGCTTCACCCATGCAGATCTTGGCTGACCCCAGCCTCTCCCATTCAGTCAGGCACATCTGCTCCTATCCCCATGTGTCCCTGCACCCCCATGTGTTCTTGCACCCCCATCCACATGTATCCCTCCACTCCCACTCAGACACCCACTCCCCCCATCCCCATGTAGCCCTACACCCCCTCTCCATGTGTCTTTGTGCCCCACTCAGCCACCCTTCTTTCCCTATGTGGCCCTGTACCCTCCCTCTATCCCCATGTGTCTCTGTGCCCCCACTCAGCCATCTCCCTGTCCCTATGTGGCCCTGCATCCCTTCCCCCATCCCCATGTGGCCCTGCACCTCACTCCCCCCTGTAGCCTTGTGCCTCCACTCCCATTCATCCGGTGCCCCAGTCTATCCTCCCCCACTAGCCCTTATGAGCCACTGTCTGACCCCCCAGCAGCCCTAAACTGTCTGTCTCCCCATATCCCCTGTCTCCTGACCTGGCCCGACAGGCGCTGTGAAGTAGGTAGGCTCTTTCTCTTTCCTAGCTGGCTGGGAGCTGCTGCTCTGTTCTAGTGTCACAGCGCCCTCTGGAAGGTGGAACTGCAGCAACTTTCTGGCAGAAGCTTTTTTCTGTACAAAAAATTAAAAATATGCACAGCTTATTAATTATGCACGTGTGCATAATTAACATAGTTAACAATAATTAACAGCAGTAACATAGGATTTTACTGTGCAGCAAGCTGGTGAGCTGTAGATTCTCACCTTGGCTAGCCATTTAGACAAGCCCTAAGAGTAACTGCATTTAAATAAATGGGACTGCTTGTGGAGTAAAGTACTATTCTGTGTGAGCAAAGGTATCAGAATTTGGCCCTATGATTAGAGATGGGCAAATAAATCATATAAATATTTTGTGAATATTCTTGAGAATAAAAACTAGTGTTCACAAGCACTTTTTTCTGCTAATTCATGAAAATTTGGGTAAGTAATTTTTTATTTGCAAAAATGATGGAAACAAAACACTGCCAGCACTATCTGAAATAGGAGTACTGCTGATGTCGTTTGGAAAAGCTTTTTTTATTACTCACACAATAGATTTGTCAGTTACAAACAAATATTCATGGATAATTTGTGAACAATAAAAAGAGACTCCTCCTGTTTATAAAGTTTAGGTCATCCAGTCAGGGAATGTGTGACTTATATGGCCAGTCCTACTGCATGAATAATGAATAGCCAACACTCAGTGTCACCAATTCATGAATATCTATAACCCAAAATTTGTTTTCATAAGCTATTCATGAACAATTGCCAAAAACAAATAAAAATAGTAAAAGTAATGACCAATTTGTGAATAATTCACAAACACAAAAGGGGCTAAATTCATTCCAATAAATTATTCACAGTGAATAATTTGACTAGCTCTATTTATGATCACACGTCATGCAGTAATACTCAAAGCTTACACAAGCGCCATAATGATTCATGTAACGGTATTTGACTAAATTTAAGCACCAGTTAGTTTAGTCCTTGTGCATAATATATAATATTTACGAACTATACAAGACCCTATTGTGCAGAAAAACATCAGAATGACCTTGTATAATTAATAAACACAAGATGCAGTGGCCACAATTCAGATTATCTTGTGGGGAAGGAGGGGACGCAACTTTTGGTCTCCACCACCCACAGTAGCGACCCCACTCCAGTCCTCACTCATTCATCCCCCCTTCCTCTTACAACGTGGGTCTCCCTCAGCTGGGGAGCCTTCTGTCTCTCTTACCCACATAGTGCACGAGCTGGTGCTGCAAGCAGTTAGCTCTTGGCAGACTCAGCTGCACTCTGCCGTACAGGAAAAGAGTCATGGCACCATTTGACTCGGTCGCCCTCCCATCAGGACAGAGGGTTGGCCAGGCCACATTTCAGTGACGTTGTGACCCTGTGTGCCAGGCCACTATGCCACTCATTGAAATTTCGTGCAGCTGCCCCGTATGGAGGGGCGGCTGGGTCAAATTTCAGTGAGTGGCATTGTAACCATGTGGCAGGAGTGACACTGTGGCAGCCACCACACTGATTTAATATGGGACCACTGCTTAAAAGAGGTTGGATCACGCCTTCACCCCCCACCCATTGCATGCTATGGAACTGTGAGCAAGTGCAAAACCATTGTGGGGGAGGGGAGGGTGACCACCTGTCTCAAATTGGGCAGGACAGTCCCAAAATGCAGAGTACAAGTCCCAGTACTGGGCTGAATGACTCCAGGACAGCATTTGTCCTAGATTCCTTGTGGCGCTGCTTTGCACCTGCCTGAGGCTCAGGGGTGGTGCCATCCTCTTCCCAGTATGTGGGGGAGGGGCTGAGGTAGGCCTTACTCCCTCCTTGCCATGAGAGCCCCCACGCTCCTCCTCTTCCCCCCCCTCCCTCCCCCAGCCAGGCCAGAAGCAGGAGCTGGGCAGTAATAAGAGCTGTCCGGGAGCCCAGGCCGCTGTGGGGAGCCCTGGACCCTCCACCAGCCCATAGCGGCACGCCCCGGGGGGCAGGAACATGGGCCAGGGTCTGCTCTTGGGCACCCCTGCCCAGGGCAGGTGGAGGGTCTGGGGCTCCCCACAGCAGCCTGGGCTCCAAGAGAAGGGGCAGGAGCTTGGGGGAAGAGGAGGGGCAGGGGGTGGGACCTCAGGGGAAGGTGAGGGGCAACAGCGGGGCCACAGAGGGGGGCAGGGATCCTGCATGTATCCCACTTTTGCCTTTTGAAAAGGTGGTCATCCTGGGGTGGGGGGCAGTACCCCTTGTCCACAACCCCTCATAATTTGTGCCACAGACAAGATGCACCCTGAAGCACATCCAGACCTTTTGCTTTATTCCCTGAATTGCCAATCTGTATCACTGGATGGTCTGAATAACTATACTATGAATTTTAAGTTGCTGCATTACTTTTGCAGTCCTGAGAGGGCCTAGACATTCACAATGCCTTTACACAAGTCAGAGCAGTGTTCAACACCTCTCAGGGTTAGGCTCTAAGTGACTGTTACCAAAGTGTGTGTGTGGGGGGGAGGGGCAGTCAGCTGTCTCAGTGGATCAATAATGGGATCTACTGCATCTTTTAACTATAGTCACAAGTTTGAATTCACCCTATCTAGCTTTCCAGCTTAGTGCTGGTGCTAGCCCATTGGGGGCCCTAAGCAGGAATATTTTGGACCCTCCCTCCCCCACAACACATACTAATCATTAATGGGGGGTCCCCTTGAGATGCTTGGGCCCCTAAGCAATTGCTTAGTCTGCTTATGTCTAGTGCCGACACTGCTCCAGCTCTCACTCTGATCCTTTAGCATGCATTTTGCTAGTGATATCACATCAAATAATAAACCCTGTCAGTAAATAACAATTGCAAAATTGTCCTTCTGCAGGGCGTCAGGTAAATTCCCTTTTTACTATATTCTTCAGTTTTGCAAAGTTTAAAATGTGGTATTTTACATCTTAAAAGGAACAAAATGTAAATATTAAATACTTTGCAAAATAAAACAGTATACCAAATAAATATACCTACCTAATTCTCTAAAGGCCAGCTCTGTGTTCCATCAAGATCTCTGTGACTGATGTGACATAAGAGCATAACAACAGAAGAATGGCCATACTGAGTCAGACCAAAAGTCCATCCAGCCCAATATCCTGTCTACCGACAGTGGCCAATGCCAGGTGCCCCAGAGGGAGTGAATCTAACAGGTAATGATCAAGTGATCTCTCTCCTGCCATCCATCCCCACCCTCTGACAGAGGCTAGGGACACCATTCCTTACCCATCCTGGCTAATAGCCATTAATGGACTTAACCACCATGAATTTATCTAGTTCTCTTTTAAACCCTGTTATAGTCCTAGCCTTCACAACCTCCTCAGGCAAGGAGTTCCACAGGGTGACTGTGCGCTGTGTGAAGAACTTCCTTTTATTTGTTTTAAACCTGCCGTCCATTAATTTCATTTAGTGACCCCTAGTTCTTATATTATGGAAACAAGTAAATAACTTTTCCTTATTCACTTTCTCTACACCACTCATGATTTTATATACCTCTATCATATCCCCCCTTAGTCTCCTCTTTTCCAAGGTGAAAAGTCCTAGCCTCTTTAATCTCTCCTCATATGGGACCCGTTCCAAACCCCTAATCATTTTAGTTGCACTTCTCTGAACCTTTTCTAATGCCAGTATATCTTTTTTGAGAAGAGGAGAGCACATCTGTATGCAGATTCAAGATGTGGGTGTACCATGGATTTATATAAGGGCAATAAGATATTCTCTGTCTTATTCTCTATCCCCTTTTTTTTTTTTTGACATCAACAGCTTAGGGCATGTTTGGTCTTTATATTAGTGGGGCCTAGCTAAGAGGGACTAGAAGTTATGGAACTTAAACTACCACTCCTACCAATTAGCACTCTCACAGTGCCTTACTTTTGTCAGTGCTGCACAAAAATTAATCAATCAAATTAAATGAGCATTATGTTGACTACCTTTCCTAGAATGGCCATGGGGGACATCCAGCATATTGCTAATGTGGCTGGAATTTTGTCAGAAGGATTTGTAGGTCACTTTTTAAAGCAGTTCTTCACACATGAAGTGCTAACCTGGCGTCTATGCACCGGATGTTTTGCATTGTAGCACTAAACTAAAAATTGATTTTAAAACATCATACACAAGTGCTGCAATCCCATACCTAAATGCTTTACTATTTATCATATTGTGATAGACCCGAGGAAACAAAAACTGATCAATAATGGCATAGAGTCGAGATGACTCAGAAGCTAAAAGTGTCATTGCAGGACTCCAATTTCAGGCTTTTGCAATACTATCACGCTAGCATCGAGCATGAATTCACACCTCTCCCAATGCTCAGACATAAGGCTCTTGGCCAACACTGTCACCCATGAGGGTGGGCTCTCTGAAGGCAAGTGAAACACCACCACAGCCCCATTGCCTTTAATGGTAAACATACACATCTTTTGCTTTGACTGCCAGCTCTGACAGCAATAACTTCCAAAAATAAAAAATTGCTTTTGCGGACACATAAATCTTTTTTTTTCCTGCTCAGCAGACTTTATGTAGCTCATAAAAAACAGGGATATTCTAATGGAGTCTCCTCCCCCGCTTTTGTGTCTCAGAGCCAGGCTTCAATGTGGTTATTTAAAAAAAGATTTCACACACCAGTTGAATATCTGATGAACTGGTCAGCAGGGTACAGAATCATATTCCAAGGCCCTTCACACCATTGACAGGCTTAACCAAGAGCAAAAGGTACTGTTTGTAACATTTCTGTTCAAGCAGTCAAATCCTGAAGTCCTAGGCTCACTCCCTGTGCAAACAAGGATGACTGTAAAGATTTGAGGATTTTGACCAAGATTCTTGGAAGGACTAAGGCAATATAAACACTTCCATACTGTTAATAACAGAAGAATTCCAGAGAAGTTGTGAAACTCCTCACAATATAAAAAGGTTTATCAAAGCCTTTGGAGTTTGATCCCGCACAAAAGAAAAAGGTAGACAAATATTTTTTCTGACATTTTCCAGGCTTTGTTAGACAAAAGAGGAAGAAATTCAATGTTGAACTTTGAAAGAGGGTAGTAC